TTGTCTGGCGAGATCCTTACTGCGGTCGCCTAAAGTGATGCTGCTGGATGAAGCAACGGCGTCCATTGACTACAAGTCAGACACCAAGCTACAGCAGACAATCAGGGAAGAATTTTCGGGCAGCACAGTTTTGACCATTGCCCATAGGCTACGGTCAATTATCGACTACGATAAAATTCTGGTGATGGACNTTATCGACTACGATAAAATTCTGGTGATGGACGCAGGAGAAGTCAAGGAGTACGATCACCCATATTCGCTTCTGTTGAACAAGAACAGTATTTTCTACAGTATGTGCGAGGACAGTGGAGAACTGGAGTCGCTATTCCAGCTTGCGAAAGAGTCCCTCGAAAAGAAGCTCAATTCCAAATAAATAATGGTGGTATTAACCCTGCGTCAAACTTAGATAGATACAAGTGGCTGGATTCGGTCATGCATAAGTGATTAAAATCTATAAAGCGTATTCCTTGCACCAGTCTATTGTTAACAACCCATCATCCATAATGTGAACTCTCCGCTTTAACTCGTAGCCCGCAAGTTTCGGGAGCGCCACAAAGTTTAGAAACCAGAAAAAGATGCAAACAGCTATCAGAAATAGTGCTGCGATAGGATATGGTGGCAAATGGCGAACGGAAGCCTCTTGCTGATCGCCGATGAATGGCCCAACCAAAAGGTAAACTGAAAGGACAATGAGGGCCCAAACGCCAATGGAGGATGCACGAATAGCGGCCACTTCATCAATGTTCTTTCTTCGGTAAATAAATAGACCAACTGCGACGAGAAGTATTACCAGTTGATTGGCATAGCCTTCTAATGCCACAAGGTAACTGTACGCACCACCCGCTGACGGAAGAAGTAGGAGCCAAAATGTGGTAAACGCAGCGCACAAGAGCGAAGAAAAGAGTGGTGCACCCCAGGGTTTATTGCTAGCCATTATTTTGCTAAAAGGCAAAAACCCTTCCTTGAAGCATTCTTGATTCATTCTGGAAGTCGAATAAACCACCACGAATAGGTTTGATCCCGCTGATAGGGCGATACCAAATGTGATGAGCTTCCGCCCGATGTTTTCGCCCAGTAGACGGGTAAACAAAATGGATCCAGCCAGCGGGCCAGCCGCCTTGAATTCTTCATAGGTGAAGACCTTCAGATATGCCACATTCAAGGACAAGTAGCAAAATAAACAGAATCCCAGCGATAATGGACCGGCAATTTTAAGAGTCCTGCCTGGATTTTTGATCTCTGATGTAACAGAGTGGACACTATCCCAACCTGCGAAACAGAAAAATGCCTGAATGAAAGCTGTTGTAAGTGAGGATATCGTGATTGTGCTATGACTTTTGGACAAGGACGACAAGTTTAAAATTGGGGTCTTAGGATTCCCGTCCTGTTTCCCATAGAAAGCAACGGCGTATATCCCACTCAAGCTGATGATTAGGGCAAACACCAGCTTGAGACCACCAAGCAGATTTTGGACCTTCACTCCTATTTTCACGGAGTACCCATGAATCAACGCTATGAAAATAACCAAGACAGCACCAATGTAGTTGCACGCCATAGAACTGTCGACGAAATCCTCATCGAAACCGGACCCGTAAAGGACATACTTACCGAAAACGATTGCATTGGACACTGCAATGCCCATAAGCACGGTGTAGGTAGTAAAAGAAACGCTCATCATTCTGACTGGTCTGGTATAGGCTGCCTCAAGAAAGTTCTTCTTCCCGCCCGATCGTGGAATGAGCGAACCGAACTCCAAAAAGAGGTACAAGCCAGCAAACGCCATGATAGCTGCACAACAATAAACGGCAAGAAAAACAGCTGTGTTGCCACCACATCCCACGTAAATACTGCTTGGAGCTGCAAATATCCCGGAACCTATGATTCGCGACACGAAAAGTATGATTGTGGAAAACACTCCAAGATGACGTCCCTGGGGAACTTCATTGTGGAGGCCCACATTTTGATGTTCAATGAGATCAGTGCTCTGCAACGACGAAAAAGAACCATATCTTGATGAGTTTTCTGCAAGATCCTCACCGCTGGACTCCAAATCTTGCGCTTTTTTTAGTGCCAGGGGATCCTGGTCTGTGAGTTCCATTCAGCGACCAGCACTTGTTGTATTCTCGAGGGTTAAAAAGAGAAACAAATCCCAGGAATCTTAGGATTGAAATTTGAATATACCAAGAGTGTGGTATTATATACTGAAGCTATATAAGAGGAACTAAGACTGGTCAAGCGCTCGCAACCATTTGACATTGGTTATCTTATAGCTCCGTCGTATTTACTTATTATTAATTGGATCTCGGAATTAGCTATAAAGCCATAGTTTTATCCAAGTGACTCTTGACTTCAAGAAACAACTCGAAAAACAAACAGTTTTGATGATATATAGAAAGGCAAATTGAGTATCTTAGGTGGATTAGATGTATGCTGGTAGATGAAGACAGTGTTGGACGTGTTTCATGCTTTTTAAACGGATGATTTGAGCCTACAATAAGGCCGGCACGGTATTTCTAGCGCCCATAAATGTCGCTTTTCAAGCGGTTGTTTGTTTTTGCACAAGAAGTGTATTGCAAACGCTTGCAACATGGATAAGGCTATGAGTTCACGCGTATAGGCTCTGAGATTTGCTCAAGAAGGTTAGCCTGACGTGACTGCAGTCTTTTAAGGCCAGGAAACGAGAACGGAGAGCAGAGGGATTTAAGAGGATCTGATTAAGCTTGTACTGGGTATTACAACAAGATGTGCTACTTTGTAGGTTCATTGACCACACGAGTGGATCGATGGCTTGTGTGGTGGTGTGGCACATTCCAGTGCACATTCAATTAGGGGTTTTTTTTATCGCAAGCAAGGATAAGCTGAGTAGAAAAAACTAGTTTTTCCAATAGCTGAACTTCCCGTAACGTTGGACCGTACAGATGCTTTGAACTCTCGGAAAACACCAGTGTGAATTGTGTGACCGTATCTCAAATGGTGTTCGATGACCATCACGTGATATTTTTTTCGCTGCGCATTCAAATCATTGACTCCATCACCACCATATTAATGCTGGCAAACACCCAGCAGATGGATCTGAGAGCTCAAAGCCGAACCGTACATCAACCGGTTGACTTATGAGTAAGACCCAGCTGCCGTACTGGACATCCCAGTTGAGATTAGCATATAGAAACTCGTCACGACAACGAAGATTCACTTACAAGCAAAACGTGGTCAGACTCGAGCGAGAACGAGCTGATGAGCTCTACAACGTGGAAAATGAGCCCGCGCAGCATAAGACGATGATATTGCCCGCCAGGCTTGATAGCATGCCAGTTGCACACTTGCAAGCTGTTTTGTGGGAAGATATCGTTCAAAAACAACCTGTGGAACTGCAATTTGAACTGCCCCACGCCCATCATTTACAAGGTCAAGCCATTAACAACTGGGCATCCATAAGAAGTTTCTTCAAAAATCGAATTGCATCAGTTTACTCTAAGCCAGAAGCTGAAGGAATTTATTTGAAGGATGACATGAAGTGGGATCGGATTTTAAAAATTACAACCTCTCAAGGCGCACATATCGAGGTTCTGTGGCCGCCTTTGGAGTCTTCCCTAGCGTGCAGGGCCATTGGCGTCTTTGATAGTGAAATGTACGATAAATTCAAACATCATACTGTTGCTCACCCAGTGACGGGCGAAAATTTGCGAATTTTGAAGATCCCAACTGCTTCTGGTGTCAATACGAATTTCGTGGCATTGGCCCCACAACTCGATCGGTCCAAGTGTGAACCAGTCGCACACCTACTCGGTGCGGCAGCTGTGATTCCATCACGTCGTTGTAGCTCCGTGGAGATCGAGAAAGTCAAAAAATTATGTGTGAATGAGGATCATGTTGAAATGAGCAAGAAAACTCGCCATATTTCGTTCATACCCGCCGAGGGCTTTGAGAGTGATTTGAAAAGCACGTCGAGAATATTCAGAGCTCTCGAAACGGGCTCCTTTTTCATATCAGAATCTATGAAGAGAAGCATGTGTTCAGCCGATATTCTGCGGGCGACGATTCTTTCAAACAGTATTACGGAAAAACAGCTCAAAGCAGAGTACTGCAAGATTTCTGTTCTCTACAGCATCTTCGAAAATTTTCGAAGGATTCAAAGGCGACTGCGGAACGATGAAGTCGGTTCGAAATCGCTACCTTTGATGCCTTGGGACGTCAATATTCTGAAAGACTTGCACGAATTAAACGAAAGTTATCTTGACAAGGATGTTAATGAGCTTGTAAAGGGGAAAGGTCGCTTCGACAATTTTCTATCTCGTCTCAATACCTACAATGTTATCCTCAACGCAGAATTGCGAAGCGCAGCCAAGGGCACCTCAAAGATTAGTGTCGAACGCCAGTATCTCATGACTCAGGTTTTGGGTACCCTCTTGTCGAAATGTTGTGTTATAAAGGACATCTACCCCAATCTGTTTTTTGAAATTGGGCGATTTACGAACCATTTGGACGCTGTAACTTCCATCAGCCAGGATGCGGACGCTTCTGAAACGGGAAAACGAATCGTAGAGACGATTCAGGCCATCCTAGACTTCGAAACGAAAATCCTGGGACCGGACGGTACATCACGAGGCCATAAACTGGTTTTGCTAGTCCCACAAACTCTACCGCCCGATATTGCGCGCTTGTACCAATTCAGCACAAGACTTGAACTTCAGATAACAACTTCATTGGATGCTGTTCGGAAAGTGCGTAATACAGAATGCATTTTGAAGAAGAGTATTGATTACGACACGAACATTTACTTGTATGAAAAGAAGCGGGTAGACCTCAACGTCAACGAGCTACTCGAAAGTCTGGCAAAGGATGCCGGATCGTCATGATGTATAGCGTGTTTTATTGAAATGATTAATGAACAGTTTAGATAGTTGAAGCGACCACTGAGCCAGCAGTGTGTATATATATGCGTGCGTGTGTGTGTGTGTGTGTGTGTGTGTGTGTGTGTGTGCTCCGAAATCGACAGAATTTTCGGTGGTTGCGAAATAATCCAAATTTGCACGCTTCGGCTGGAACAGGGTTCCTCTTCAATCACATTGCGAAAGCCACCTAGAGACACCACCATCTCATATCATTCTGCTCTCCTCCTGGGCTCTAATCTTGAATTCCAGAGATCTCACACGCCGCTCGGTGTCATTCCAAAAATTGTTGCTTCTCACGTTTAGATCCACAAACCGTTGGAGCAAGCTCATAGTTCCAACTATCAGCTGAGATACCTGTACGAACTGCAGTGGAAGCGTCGACAGCTTTATGCTACCGCTAGCTACACTGCTATCGATGATCCCACACGAGAGCACGTGATCCAGATCTTCATCCCGATACCAAAGTTCAAGCTCTTGCAGCTGTCGCAGAATCTCAGCAAGCGATTCTTGACACGTTTCCAGCTCGGTTTTTTCGGTTTGGGACATTTGAACATTGCCGTTCCCACCGTATTTCTCTAAAAGTCGCCAAACCATTCTTGAGCACGTGGTTCCATCCCCACACATCCGTCTGACTTCGTTCGAAAGCGCTTGTAACTTTTTCAGAACAGTCTCAGACTCTCCATCTTCTAAGTATCCTGTGATTTGCTCAATGCGGTCTAAACGCTCCTGTAATGCTTCCAAACTCTCTTTCATCTCGTCCTATTTCTTAAGTATCTATCTCTACTCCCAGGAATTTGTTAATAGGTTCTGGAAGGCCAATATTTCAGTACTCAGAATCTGAAAAAAATTCGAGATTCCGGGTAACCCCTTTCACTGGTATATATATACGATTTTTCCCCTATAGAGACCCCTTTTTGACGAACCCCATATCACTTGTTTGAACCAGACTGACGAACCAAGCGTTAAAAACAATCAATTAATCGACAATGTCTAGATCTGGGTATGTTGGGGAGTAGAGGATAGTGTCATCCGCGTTAAGTGCGGTGAAAGGCGAGCAGAAACAAGCAAAAGCGGTCCAAATTGAAGAATTTAAGCGTCAGCAAATTGAGAAAACAAGATTCATGCGCGATTTGTGAGCTAGAAAGATCTTATTGAACGGTAATTTCGTTTTGTCACAGACCTGTTGATGATTGCAAGTGATTGATTTACCAAGTCAACCGTTCAGCCTTGTTTTTTTTTTTTGGTCTTGTTTGGTTTCAATTCGACTGCTGCCAAAAAGCTGGTTTTCTTTCGTACCCTTTTTTTTTCGGTTCCATCTCAGACTTTAGGGTTTTTACTAACATCCATCAGTGTTGCCGTCGCAGACGAATCTATGAAAGCGTTCAACGACTTGAAGTTGGGCAAAAAATACAAGTTTGTCTTGTACGGTCTTAACGACAGCAAAACGGAAATTATCGTCAAGGAGACTTCCGATGCCCAAGATTACGACGCTTTCCTAGAAAAACTGCCCGAAGATGACTGTTTGTACGCAGTTTACGACTTTGAATACGAAATCGGTGGTAACGAAGGCAAAAGATCCAAGATCATCTTCTACACCTGGTCTCCTGACACTGCACCAGTCAGAGCCAAGATGGTGTACGCTTCTTCAAAAGACGCACTTAGAAGAGCGTTGAACGGTGTTTCTACCGACATTCAAGGTACGGATTTCTCCGAAGTGGCCTATGAATCTGTCTTGGACAGAGTCAGCAAAGGTGCCGGTTCTCACTAAGCTCTTCAACGTTTAAACTGTTATCAGATGGCTATATAGAAAGCTTCACGTAAAATAAAAACATTAACACACCTAATTATCGTTTTTCTATACTCCCTGTCGACGTCTGTAATAATGCGTTAAGCTCATTTGATTAAGCTGCCTTCTTCTCGAAAAAAAATGCCTCTTGCGATGTGGGCGACGTCCATACCAACCTGTCAATGACAGTACCCGCAATAATGAATTTCTTGATTCCCCAATCCCCCTTACCGTATATCTCAGGTATCTTGGTAGTAATTTGAGGGAATAGACTTTTGTAGAAGGGCATGTATTCCTGAACGTCCTCTTTTTCTACAACGATTGTGGCTGCGACATCTTGAAAAGTAGCGTCAATAAACTCTGGAACTTTATACTGTAATCCCCCATTAGTATTTCTCACGATCCATAAAAGAAGGGCTTGCTGCAAAAATCCCTTCGCAAGTAAATCATCATACTTAGCGACCCCGAAGGTGAGGGTCAAGCTGTTAACGAACGGTGTGTCTGATTTGAAAAGAGTCTTGAATGAAATAGGCTTGGCTTCTTTTATAATTTTCTTTTGGTACTTTTTGATGCTGTCTGAAGCTTCTTGGTAAATTCTCTTCTGTCCTGTAATGTAAGCTTTCGCAGACTTTGATTTTTCTGGGGACCCTAAAGAATCTTTCAACTTAGACGCGTCTTTGAAAAAACTCAGTTTTTGGTCTAAGATACCATTTAATTGTACGGTACCTTCCAATTGGCTTCTGGTTGTTGGGAAAGGCTCCGAGGTGAGCTTATTCATAACTCCAAATACTTTCGTGAGCTGTGCAGGAAGTGGTGATTGCACTGATAATGTGAAGTTTACAGAGCTGTCACCCGTACTGACATCGTCCAGCTTAATGCCCATTTTATGAAAGGTGCCTAGTTGGTCTTGAGGGAACCTTAGCGTTAAAGTAGTGGTGTCAAATGCATTATTGGGCGATGCGAAGCCATAACCCATTAGCAGTTCTTCATTTGATTTGTCTCCATAGTTATTGAAGATCTCGTCACCTGCTGAGAGTTTCTCATCGGTTGTGAACGTCACTGCATTTTCCGTCAAGTTGTCTTTCCAGCTGACCTTCTTTCCATTTGCATGATTGAGAAGATCAACAACAGGAAACAAAAAGGCCTGGTTGACGTTGTCAATTGCACTACCTTCTAAAATCAGTTCGGGAAAAGCACGGGAAGAGAAAATGTATGAAGCCCACAAGTATGCCTCGAAGCTGTGCCACTTGGGCGAATTGGACCTTTCCAATATGTCTGTGATATCCGATTTGGGACTCGAGGCCGATTCCAAATAAAATTGAGTATCCTCTTCATCAGTAGCATTCACGCTTGTTGCAACATTGAACCATTCACTGACCAGGCTTTTCAAATTCCGCTTGGTCTTGATCAAGAGCTCTGTGCCTTTCAAAGCAGCAAGCTCCTGAGCAGTCCAAAAGTAGGGCGAGCTAATGGTATTGACGTTTGGGAGAATATCCAAGTACGGTTTGAAGAACGCAGATTTTTGGCATGTATTATCAAACTTCAATTTGGCCAGATACAGTTGCAAAAGCGCATTTGGATTACCGTCGGAGGAAGGCTTTACGCCGAAATGCTCCTCTGCCAAGCTGCGTCGTAGAAGCAGTATTTTAGGAATCTTGAATAATGGATCGCTGCTTTTTATCGACTTTCTAGCAATCGCATGGACACCGGTTAAGGCATTTTCTTTGAATTCGATTTTATCATCGATGTAAGCTCCGTTATCTTGCGCCCATTGGACGAAGTGTTCTACGGCACCACCACTCATCTTGCTCTTGTTTTCATTAATCGTGAACCTTCTTTGCTCTAACATCTTGATCTTTTCTTGAGTCGATGAGCTTCACTCGTGTGTGAGTATTATTACTACAGAACTCTTAAAATCCAAAAAGTTCAAAAGTTTGAATCACAAGAGGTCAAAAGTAGTCTGGAAAAGCTTTGAAGAACTGCGTTATCTTATTAGAGCGATGGATAGTTATTCAGGAAACTCATCACCATTTCATCGTTGTTATTTCATGTTTATAATTAGTTTGATTCATAATAGTGTGACAGAATCAATCAAAAGGACGCATGGTCTTTGATTACCAGCTCACCATCTCAGCCGAATTGGCAGTTGCTACATTTTGAACGGGAATTGAAGCTTGTCAGCGATTGATCGCGAGCGCGCAACTATGATATTTATAGCATGTTTGACAGACTCCGGCTAAGCAAGTTTGAAAATGTTGGTACCCATTGAAATCTGGTAGTTGGGTCTCTTAACATAATCTGAACTCTCGCGCCATGTCCACCAGCTTTTACGGTGAACAGGTTTTCTATACATGGCAGAGAGTATGTCATTTTCTTTCACGCTGTCGCTGACGTTAGTCATCTGGTTAACGATGGCGACAAAAACGTTGAGGAGGGCAGTCAAGTTCTTTAGCATCAACAGCAGACTATGTACACTGCTAGCGCCTGGCTGAAGCAACGTAGATCACACAATCGGGTAGTGTCTATTGAGGATAGCTGATACGAAATTACGGCGACAGCTTAAGGGAAAATGATCAGTGTTAAATGCTAGCTTCTAAGGCCTGAGAATGCCGGCTGAAAACATCTAGCTGACAGAGAAACCAGCGGTAGTTTTTGTCATCTCTAGAAGCTCCTAGGGAGTCTGGGCATCACAACACAATTTTAAAGATCAGGTTTATCAGTTCTTAAAAGGTTCAATAAATAATTTTGAGATAAGACAGCCTTGTCACGTCCTGGGACATCAGGTCTCGTTTCTGGCTATTCGTCTAGTTCAGCAGCTCATGCGAAAATAGAGCACATCATGAGAGCAACCAAAGAGGTCCAGCTCAAACCGGTGACTCCGGAACCACCATGAGAGACGATGGAGGTCAAGTTGTGAGAAGCGCTGGCAGAGATAGAAGAACCGCTAGCAGAAGCAGAGGAACCGGTAACAGAAGCAGACTTCTGGACATCAGAGCTAGCAATGGTGACAGCATCAGTCAAGGACGCAGCGGATTGAGTAGTGGTGGTCGATGTGAAGTAGCTGGCGGAAGCTTGAGCAGAGTACTCAGAACCCCACACAGACACAATCTTTGGTAGAACGCCCTTACCGTTCTTGTTGATGGCAGTGACATTAGGAGCTGGGAGGGCGATTTGATCGTCGAGCAAGTAACCAGTGTAAGTTTGGTTGTTGACTTTGTATGTGGTGTCAACAGCCATGTTGGTAATATTGGTGGCATTGGCAATTAGCTGGAACACGTTAGCGTCGACGTCGTGACGGCCCAAACTTGGCAAGTTCCAGTTGGCCTCAACGGACGACAGTAGCGAGTAGTGGTCGTAGTAGGTAGAGTCGGTAGTACCATGCAATTTTTCTGGCACGGCGCCACCAAGCAAGATGGTGAAGACCTTGTTCTTGATGGAGTAGGTTTCATTTTCATCAAAGGTTAGGACAACCAAGGTGTTTTCCATGAAGTACTCGTTGGACAACAAAGGCTCTAGGAACCCACGAGCCCAGGCACCAGCGACCTTGATGGTGGTATCGTGACCGTCGTTGGTCATGTTAGGAGTGATGAAACTCCACTGTGGCAAAGTGGAGCCGTTCACGTCACGGTAGAACTCGGTGAAGTTCTTAATGTTGGCGAGACGGTCAGCGTCGTTGGTGACGGATTCGTACAAGACCAATGGGTTGTGTTTTCTGACGTAGTCGTTGGCAAAGGTCTCCTGGTTGGAGTAGTTGAACCCTTGGAACCCAGTGTATGGCAAATGTTCCTGGTACTCGGCCCACGAGATGTTTTTGGTGTCGAGCAAGTCGACAACGGTGGAGACGTTGGATGGGAGCGTAATGAAACGGTCATCGTCGAGGGAGAAATAGTCACCACCGGCAGAAGCCAAATAGTTGGGTTCTGAAGGGTGGGTCAACGCCCAGTAGTTGTCCAAAGTGATACCCTTAGTTGCCAACCATGCCAAGTTTTCATCACCGGCGGCTTTGTCGTAGTCGGTGTTTTCCAGCCAGATCTGGAAAATACGGTTGGCTGCAGCTCCAGTGACATTGGAAGTGCGGTGGTTCGAGGTGGCCTTGGCTGCGTCCTGCGCAATTTGCGACGCCGAAGGACTGTACGTGGAGTACGTTCTTGGCTGATAAGAGCTGCTCGAAGAAGCAGAGCTGGCGGCATTGGCGGTAGCCAATGCCATGGTCAAAAGGCCGGCTTGGTTGCTGAATTTCATACCTGAGAGGGCTTGGCTGGATGACGATGAGCAATGGAGAGCTTCGAGAGTGAACAAAAAACCTCTGCGGAATCCTATTTTTCAAGGCGGCAAAAAGAGCCTTCTTATATACTTCTACACTACGCCAAGCATCCTACGCCGCACACACTATTACATCGGTCCAAGACGGCCTTAATACCGTTCCACGTGGAGTCTTTTCCATCGCTGAATGGCATGGCCCTAGGGCATCATCATTTACTTACTACATGTTCAATTAATTAGAACATCACAACTTCCACTGCAGGGTTTTAATTATATTGGATTCATAACTAAATAGCATACGCGTGGCAAAGAGTCGCAGAAGCATCGCAGAGGCATCGCAGAAGCATCGCAGATATGAATCCCACTAAACAAGCATAGCGTGTGCCACCGCTGCAATTACTACCGGACACAGTGGTACGACTATCTCTGTTGAAAAAAGACGGTTTTTACCTTGTTCGGCACATGTCTCTTTAGACGGGTGTGTCGCTGCTCCATATCATTACGTACCGTGCTGACGCCGCAGTATGGTGAGCGTATTTCGTATTTTCCACCGAGACAATTTGAGAGCCTAATTTGATGCTTCACGTTTTCTTCATCATTCTCATGGTGTCCCTATTGTGTGCATGCGTTTCTGTTGTTTCCTTAATTCCGTCGGGTTCCGAGCGCTTCTACTCTCACTCTTCTTCCCACATGGCCCTTATTTACGCACATGGGCCAAGATCATTTTTTCTGCATACGACGACGATGCGATGCGAGAGTAATTCTCGGCAGTGGGTATTATCAGCATTGGCAGCGTGTGTTTGGGAATATATGTAGTGTACGCACCGAAAGTAAGCGATGGACGTAAGAAGGGAAGGAATTTCGGTGTTCCGAAAAATTCGCAGTTCCGAAGAGAAATCGGGATATCTCGGTGGTGGAATTGTCGTGTAAAGAGATAACTCTCGGCTCATATGTTTCATAATACTCTGAATAACGACGACCACGACGACGACGACGACATGGGTAATAATTCCAAGATCACATTACAGGTAGAGCGTGTCGCCTTAGAAGACTGGGAAGAACAGCGGCCACAAAACGTAAAAACCAAAACTGGCTGTCTGGCGTATGGCAAGAACAAGCCCAAGCTTCTGTTGCTGGCGCAGCTCTTTTTCTGCGTAGTGGTGCCCTGTCTGACTGTGGCATTGTGCGTGACTCAGACAAATTTTGGGAATGGAGTTCTGAACGCTGACGACAGCAAAAGAAATAGTGACAGCGCGCTTCCCTCGTGGCGTCTCGATACCCAGAAGAACTATACCGTCGATTTGGACTACTGGAAGTCCCAGACGCCCGGCGTGGACCGTCATTACTATTTGAACGTATCGGTGGTGGCAGAGGTCGCTTTGGACGGCATTGTGCGGAACGTCACTGTCATCAACGGCCAGTATCCGGGTCCGTTGATAGAGGCCAATGCTGGCGATACCTTGATATTGCACGTTCAAGCCCAGGGCATCCCTACCACGATTCACTGTCACGGGCTGTTTTTCAACAAGAACGAGAGCTTCTACGACGGCGCAGCGTCCATCAATCAGTGTCCCATCGACGCCAATAACGGGACGTTCGACTACCGGATTCAACTCGACGAAAACCAAAGCGGCACGTACTGGTATCACTCGCATTACGGCACGCAGCAGGCAGATGGTGTTTTTGGACCTTTGGTAATTCACTCAGCACACGAACGACAGCTCATTGACGACGACTACGACGCAGAGGTAGTCGTGATGGTCAACGACTACTACCACGATACCGCCAATGCTTACCTGCCAGAATATCTAGGGCCCAACAACGAGAACACCGAACCCACCCCGGATAGTGGCTTGATCCAGGGCACTAACAATTTCAATTACGATTCCGCGACCTACGTCGTGCCCAACGGGAACTCGGACGATCAGCAAACGGCCCCACAATTCATCCCACAATCCCAGGCCACGCTCAATTTCGACCCAAGCAAAAGATATCTTATCCGTCTTATCAACGCTGGGTTTTACGCACCCTTCAACTTCGCCATTGACGGCCATAAGCTGAAAATGGTAGAGGCAGACGGCACTGTCACCGAGCCTTTAACCCTCGAATCTATCGACATGTCTGTTGCCCAACGTTATTCATTTATTTTGGAGCCTCAGGAAGCGCATTTATCGCAATATTGGATGCGTGTAAGGTTCAATGGTTTCTGCTTCGCTGAGAGTAATCCTAACCTGAATACGTCAGTGAGTGCTATTATAAACTACGAACAGTCAAGTAAAGCAGTTCCTGACAGCGAAAGCTGGCCCTACAATGGTGGGGATACACGTTGTCGAGATTTCAATCAAACTCAGATCAAAACACTAAATGGGCAGGTCCCACGAGTCGAAAATGGCTCCACCAGGCCCGACATCATGATAGATTTGGATGTTGCATTTTTGATCAAGGGAAATCAGCTCGATCGAGGTTATTTCAACGACATGACATTTACACCACTTCCCAATTCTTCTACCATGAATGAATTGGCGACGTCACCAAACGATAACCAAATAAGACATTTACAAAATTCCCAATTGGAAACTAGAAATGAGGGTCAATATTTGATCAACTTGGACAAGCGTGGTACTATTGTTGACCTCATAGTTAACAACTACGACGATGGCGCTCATCCTTTCCACCTCCATGGACATAAGTTTTGGGTTTTAGTGAGTGCTGATCGTGGATATTTTAGTAAATCCTCCTATGACAATGAAAATAGCGAGATGGACTTTTCCAACCCGATCGAAAGAGACGTGTTGAATGTATCTGGTTTTGGTTACGCTGTTATAAGATTTGTTGTTGATAATCCTGGCGTTTGGCCGTTCCATTGCCATATTGGATGGCACATGGAAAGCGGGCTGCTGTTGCAAGTGAATGAGCTGCAATCAGAATATTCGGCATGGACACACATTCCCTCGGTGTGGAACGAAATGTGTCAATCCTCCACCGACTAAAGGCTGTGAGAAATGTGATCGCTCTAGGAACTGGAGACCCAACGCCTCAGCTTTTTACAGTCCTCTTTTTGCATGTAATCAGGTCATAAGTTAGTTATAAATGTATCGGTATAAAAAGGTGTTTGCTTTGAACAAACTGGGGAGAGTCCAAATCAGTGTAAGACATCGAAATCAAAATCAATTTCGCCGTCAGTCGAAGAGCTCGTATAATCCGGAAAAAGCTGTGCAAATCTTGCATCTAATTGTCCGTTGAGGCCTGTCAAAGAATCTGTTAAAATGGATTCAAACGACTCATGGGACAAAGAGGGTGATAGCTCATCGATCCCGGTGCTAAACGCACCGGTGTATTCCTCAAGTAGAGAATCCGGAAGAATGCCAACTGTGACATCATCTGAAAAATCGGAAGAACTAGAGTTTACATCTCTGAGTGTATCGTCCAATGACCTGCATATTTGATCACACCAGTCAAGCTTAAACGGAAAAGCCTGAGCAGCTTGTAGAAATTTCTGGTGCAGCTCAGTAATTTCAATGTGCCTGTTTTCCCTTGCATATCTAGAAGACATGGTTAGAACATAAGAGGCCAGCGATTTGAGGCAAAAAACGGTTTGGGAGAGATATGAATAACGATGAGTAGCGACAATGGAGAGAAAGTTCAGAAAATATTCTAAAAGCTCATCAAACAAATCCTGTAGTCTTTTCCTGAGAAAGCGTGTGTCACGGACATGAAACTCCTCTTGCAAAAACTGCATTATGAGTAGGTTGAAGTCTGTGGTCGCGAAACTCAAACGGCAGCTAGCCATCAAAGCACCTTCTTGATTGGTGTCATGTGTCTGGTTCTTACTGCAACTTGACAAAGAAACCATATCTTCTTCCAAGGCATCGGACGCTGTCACAACAGAATTCCAAACATTCGATAGATTAGTATTGAAGCGGTAGGAAATAGCTAGTGGTGAATTGTCGGTTGGAACCTCCTTATCAAACATTTTGATGAAGTGTTCATGGAAAGCTGCGGGTTCTGCGAGGACTACGCATCCCATCCACAGATTTTGTCGCAACTTGTTGTTGACCAAACAACTCGCAGGAGTGAAGAGTCCCAGTTCCAAAGCCATTCGGCAAATGTCGTTGGACAATCTTGTCTTAGAAGTTGGGCAGAGTCTGAGCGGACTCGAATAGAGTTGTAAGTATAGCAAACAGGCCAAATTTTCTTCACTCGGGTCTGATGCAATTCTCGCTCGCTGAATCCACCCGTCAATCAGATCAGGATCGATAGCCAGTTTTTCGGTGAGACAAAGCATTAGGAATGTCATAATGAGGAAACATATCTGGGTAGTGCTTGCTTCAGTTAAGGAAGGATCGTGAATTAAGCCTTCGTGAATTTCTTCAAAAGTAGTGATATTGTAAAATGGATAATTTTGGTAGTAATTTGTTTCGAACGCGAGCTTGTTTTCGCGTAAAATTTGTGGTTCGGGAAGGATTCTTCTCATACTGAGCAAGATATCTTCGTTGCGGTTTGGTAGTTTTGGAAATTCATTTTCTTGCACAAACAGGTCTTCCACGCGTATCTTCGAAAGCGGATCACGAGCGAACAACGCCAGGTCACTGAAAGGAGCGTAGTACGTCCTCCAAACGCCATGGACATTTATGGGACGGACCAGATTGGTCCAACAGATATTACGCTTCTTGGGCATTTGTACTGGTATAGACGCCTGTGCATCACTCAAAGCTTTGGTGCATGCGGCTAATTGGGCTTTCACGTAAGTGAGCTCTGCTTCCAGTGCTTTGACGGTTGTAGGATCGCGAGTGCTTTGTCGAAACGGTGTGTAGACGCACTGTAGACCGAGCTTCGTGCAGCGAGTACAAGAAGGCTTGTCTTTGCTGCATTTCAGCTTTCGGAGACGGCAATGGTCGCAGACGTGTGAGATTCTGTGCGGTTTGGAAGCTTTACTTGGGGGCTTCATTGGGTTGTGCTGATTCGTTCTTATTATTGTGCTTATAGTTGTAGTTCTTGATTGTTATGGTGTTGTTAAGTGATTGACAGAGTAGTAAGCGAGCAAAAACGAGCTTTCCCCCATGGTTTCCCGCCCAGCAAAAAAGAACAGCTTCAACAATAGCAGGCCGCTAGCGGCTAGCTAATTGTTCAAAAGCTCATCCCTAGCGTTGGGCAAAAACGATCCAGAAAAAAAAAGCCAGCATTTGCGAGAGGTAATCCGGTAGCCAAAAATCAGAGGTGTGTGACAACTGGGAACACACCGTGAGTGAGTGTCACAACTTTCACGGTGGAAAGCTGCGAGTTTAGAATTTTGACAGTTTGTCCGGAACAGGCGCACATGATTAACTGGAAATAGTATTAATGTGCTGAAGTGGGAGTAAAGTCGACAAAAAACGCTAAAATAGTTTTCGACTTGATACTAGATCTGTTTCTAATTGCGGATCTTGGAGTAACTGAGTATTCCTAGTGGACTATGAATGCTTGCTGTACTACGAGTGTAGTTCAAGATGCCAAGATTTCTACATTTGTCCTTCATTTATATATATGTGGGCCCTTATAATCTCTAGCTCTTCGTCTAGAGTGACGAGGCCTTGAACGGCACGTAGACCACCTCGGCCGAAGCGCTTTTTCGATGATAACATGTGGAAGAGGCCTGGCTGGCCAAGCAATTGTTTTGATTGGTCTAGTTGAAGGTTTTAGGGCTCTTAAAGACGTTAAGTACTCGGCTAGGGGACTGTGAACTTATAGTTCGTTCTATATGGTTTTTATTGGGTAGGGTGGTTTTAGGGGGTAATGGGAGTTTTACAAAGAGGATGAATGTGCGAATGGTGTAAGGAGTCATTGTGAGGAACAAGTGCTCAAAAGAATGGGGTTTATAAACTTGTGACTGTTTGTTTGTTGGTTGTGTCTTATCTTGTTCTTGTTGAATGTTAGTATATCAAATGAAATAATGAAACCCAATGTAAAACCAATTTATTGATATACAATGAGGTGTTAGAATGGAACAAAGTGACAGAGATGAACAATGGGCTATCTTTAAAAGAGTTTGAAACACTTTATCTTCAAAACAAAATACGTCGAATGTTTGCAATCTGTGATCTGTTACAAAACCGCTTTTCGGCGTTTTGATGACATTGTCCTTGTCTCGGCAGTTAATTATAGAAAGAACTATGCTCGTTTAGAGTGACAACCAGGTTGGGATACGGGTTATGAGTGTAGCCATTATCAGATTGTTACAGATTAAAAGCCACTTAGGCCTCATCTCGGTTTAATTATACAGATCTATCTAATTCTGCTTATGTGTGAACATCCTTTACTTGGAATTGAGTTTCTTCACGAATGACTCTTTCGCCAGCTGGAGTAGCGACTCCAGTTCCCCACTGTCCTCGCACATACTGTAGAAAATACTGTTCTTGTTCAACAGAAGCGAATATGGGTGATCGTACTCCTTGACTTCTCCTGCATCCATCACCAAAATCTTATCGTAGTCGATGATGGATCTTAGCCTATGGGCAATGGTCAAAACCGTGCTGCCCGAGAATTCTTCCCTGATTGTCTGCTGTAGCTTGGTGTCTGAATTGTAGTCAATGGACGCCGTTGCTTCATCCAGCAGCATCACTTTAGGCGACCGCAGTAAGGATCTCGCCAGACAA